TGGTATCTTCAAAGTGGTTTCTCAGGAAGACAGAGATACACAAGAAGGATCTAACAAGTAGTTACAGCCTAAGGGTTGTCAAAAATCAAGTGAGCTGTGTGGGGCGAAAGCCATTTTTTGTAGCGTTTTCTCTCTGGCCTCCCATCGCATTGGGACCCTGCAACCAGTTAGTGTCCTCTCCCCAGCTGTTAGCACAGGCAGCAGGAATCCTGCTGCAGACTTCTCTGGAGCTCCACCACAGCCTGTACTGTCAGGGGAAGAATGGCTTCCAGGGAGTCTCTGTAGGTATTGTGCAAGGTCCTCCTGGTTCACAGCTTCCGAGCGGCTCTCATGACCCCAGCCCACAGGACCTCTGACTCCACGGGCTTAGTCTGCATTCTCATGTTCTCCGAGTCCTTGTTCAGCAGCTGCTCCTCTGCTGACTCTGGACCTTTCTGGTTCTCAATGGCAGGAGCAAGAGTGGCCCGTTGTATGGCATGTATACCCAGGGGTTTGAATGATTCACACACCTCCGTGGGTGGGCATCTGCATCCGGTGCATGGTGGGCCAATTGTGTCATTGTTTCTCTTTGTCATGGTAGTTCTCAATTGAGCGGTGGCGGCAGCCGGCCTGAGGGCTGGCACGCAACAGTACTCACTGCCGCATGGATCCCCCTGCGCTGTGGGCCCTCCTCCCAGGCGCCTATGAGGCAGGGAGCGAGCCAGTGGGAAGACCGGCGCTCCCCTCCCCTGGTTCCCCATGCACCTGGGCCCCTCCTTCTGGGCCCTACCAGGCAGGGAGCGAGCCAGCCAGAAGACCGGTGCTCCCCACCCGTGGCTCCCCGTGCGCCTGGGCCCCTCCTTCCGGTCGCCTATGAGGCAGGGAGCGAGCCAACCAGAAGACCAGCGCTCCCACCTGTGGCTCCCCATGTGCCTGGGCCCCTCCTTCCGGGCGTCTACAAGGCAGGGAGTGCTCTTGCATTTAACCAGGACCCTGGCTGTCTATGTGGCCTTTCTCTCTAATGGGGCAGTTGGATTACCAGCAGTTTACACAGTAACTGACTTCTTAGAGTGGATTCTAAGAAAGCAGAAGTTGCAGATCTGTTTATCTGTGTGTCTGTGTGTGGTGCTGGGGATCGAATCCAAGACCTTGCACGTACTAGGCAAGTGCTCTACCCTGAACTGTGTGCCCAGCCCTTTTTCATTTCATTTGAGACATGGTTTTATTTTGTTGACCAGGCCAGCCTTGAGATTATGATCTTCCCGCCTCAGCTCCCAGGTAGTTGGGATCACAGGTGTTGCCATCTGGTGCAGCTAAAGCTGAAGATTTCTTCAGGCCTCTGTTCAGAATTTGTACAGCATCACTTCCATGGCATTCTCGCATCAGCATCTAAGGGCCAATCGAGACTCAGAGGGAGGTTAGATAGACTTCACGCTTGATAGCAGGGGTGGCATACATTTGCCATGATCTGAAAAATTGCTGCAAGAGTTGTATATGCAGTAATAGGAGGAAAATACAAAAGAAGTGGGAGATACACTTGCGCCTAAAGGTTTAAAAACTAATCTTACATTTTTCTATATTTCTGTTAAGTGTTAGAGAAAGTGTATATATCTGTTAAGTGTCAGAGAAAGTTCCAGATAAATCAGACAATGGAGAACTAGGTTAAATTTACACATTTGACATTTTTGTGCCACAGTGATCACTATCCTGCTATGTGTTCTCTGTGTATTTTGATGTCTGATACTATGAAAAGGATTCTGCCGGGCATGGTGGCGCACTCCTGTAATCCCAGTACTTGGGAGGCTGAGGCAGGAGGATCATTTTGAGTTCAAGGTCAGCCTGGGCTACAAAGTGAGCTCAAGGCCGGCCTGAACTATGTAGTGAGACCCTGTCTCAAAAAGACCAAAAAAAAAAAGATTGCATGTGGTATCATAATTACCTCTTTTCTTCTTTTTCAGGGTTGTGAGGCTGTCTACAGTAGTGTGTCTGGCCTTAAAGCTCACCTTGGCTCTTGTACATTGGTTTGTAACTTTTTAAAATTGGTATCTTAATAGGTCCTCTAAAACAGTGTGACACAGAAAAGAACTCAGTTTGGGTGAACAGCTACTCATCTTGTACCCTGTTCTTGTCAGAGGCTGCTCTAGTCCTCTGTGTCATGAAAATTCTTGGATTCATTGAGTGGGTGTCAGGATGCATCCAGAATGCAGAAGAGGACAGCATAGCCATCAGTCATACTAAGGAAAGAGTTTTGGAGTGACATTTGAGTTCTGCATCCCTAGGAGAGGCTCCACCTAAGTGTCTCCCACACTGGCCTGCCGTTTTTCTTGGCCTGAAACATCCCAGAACAACTTTGGAGTGCTTACCTGGACTGGTGAAGACCCTTCAAATTCACTGGGACTGTCCTGGCCTCTAGGGATGGGAGATGGGATGGGATGTCAGCTGACAGCCATTCACTCACTGATCTTTTCCATGTGGACCAGGTGTCCTACAACCCATGAGCCATGGGAAATGCTCCCACTTTTCAGTCCCGTTCAGGAGTGTCTCCTCACACAAAATGAGCACCATGGGGACCTGAAACTCCAGGAGAGGACAGAAGTCTCGGTTCATTGCAGCAAGGAAGTTGTAGGCATCCAACCAGATCTGTCCAGAATGTTTAGAGTCTGTCATCTTTTTGGTTTTGGTTTTGGTTTTGGTTTCGGTTTTAGTTTTGGTTTTTGGTTTGTTTTGAGACAGGGTCTCACTCTGTATGTAGTTCAGGCTGGCCTTGAAATCACTGTGTAGCCCAAGCTGGCCTGGAACTCATTGTGATCCTCCTGTCTCAGCCTCCCAAGTGCTAGGATTACAGATGTGTGCTACCACACACAGCTCTGGTTTTGGTTTTTTGAGATAAAGTCTCACAGTGTAGTTCAGGCTGGCCTCAAACTCAGTGATACTCCCGCCCCACCCAGCCTTCCAAGTGCTAGGATGACAGGTATGTGCCACCATGGCCAGTTTGACTTTGTCATCTTGATTGTAATTTCTGAGTCCTTGAACTGGGCATTGTGGAGGATGTTCTTCTGATTCTCAGTGTCTGAGGCACTCTTGGTAGCATTGGATCCCAGTGAGACTAGTGAAGGTTGGGGAGGTTAGCAATTCTCTTGGGATAAACCAAGAGAGCATGCAAATGAAGTTGGAAGGAACCTGGGGAGGTAGAAAAAATGTGGCATGGTGGATAATACAAGTAGGACATCAGGTGGTGGTAAAGGTAGGAGTGGGTATTTGGTACAGAATTGCATTCGGAGAGATTTGTATTAGTGAGACTTTCAGGTGATTTTCTTAAATGTACTGCCATTGTGGATCTTTTTTCTTCTTACCTTTGCTAAAGTAGAATCTCACCTTTTCATCTCAAATAATTTCTGCACAGGTATGTATTCCTGAATGTACCAGTAATTATCTCTTCTCTCTTGGAAACAGGGAACCTTTGTGGCTGGAAAATACAAATGTCTTCTATGCCAGAAGGAATTTGTGTCAGAGAGTGGTGTCAAGTATCACATCAACTCTGTCCATGCTGAGGTGAGGGGTCTGCTTTCCCATAGTGCTTTTGTAATGTTAGAGTCGACATATAAACTACAAGAGAGGTATAGTTTATCTGCTTTTATGGCCTAGGACTGTCAAGGAAAGTAGCTCTGTAGTACTTACAGAGACATGGAAGCAAAAATACTCTTTAATACCGTCCCATCAGCTTGAACCACCAGGTACATGCATGACTGGCCATTGGGGGCATGTACCACGAGTGGTACATGTTCGATTGTCCCATGCTGCCCAATGGGACAGTGATGCATGTGCCACCTGTGCTTCAGAGCCGTCTGGCAGTGAGAGATACAAATTGGCTCTGTTGTGAATGTGTTAAAATTGGGTGAATAATTGTTTTATTCTGGGTAAATATTTGAAATTATTGTGAGTATGTTTGAGCTCTAACTGTTCTCCTAAATCCAAATAAATGAGGCACTGGGGAATGAGGTTGGATTTACAAATTCAACATTCTTGTTCCCAGCAATGTGTATCCTGCTATATTTTTTATGTATTCTATTGTCTAGTGGTAGCCTGCTTTCAAGGCTATTTAAAATGCTGCCTAGAGAAGTATATTTTTGGTTTTTTTTTTTTTGTTTTTTTTTTGTGGGGGGCGTACTGGGAATCAAACTCAGGACCTCGTGCTTGCCAGGCAGGTGCTATTCCCCTGAGCTATGTCCCTACCCCCCTAGAGAAGTATAAAGGTCTTGTTTTATGGCACATTCCATGTATTATTTCAGGTGCAAGTGCTTCTTTTGGTATATATCTCTAAAACATAAGGACTTTTGAAAAAACATATTCATAAACATAGTAATATCTAAAAGATTAACAATGGTTTTTTTTTTTTTTTTTTTTTTTTGGTTTTTCTCTGGTACCGGGAACC